GGGGGGGGCTCCCAGTTCCCACTGTGTGACCGGGAGCAAGGCCAGGAGGCACGGTCCTAGAGGTACTGCTCAGAGGGTCCTCCTCCTACTCGGCATGGAAGGGGCCTGAATTTGCCCCCTGCCCAGAGCTGCCCCTCCCCAAGACACTCACGACAAGACCCCCTGGGCCAGGCCTCCTGGGGCTACACCTTAGTCCTCTCAGGACCACCTGGGGTGGGAGAGCATGGCACAGCCCAGTCCCCAGAGCCACCCCGGGGGTCCCCTCCACCTCTGTGCATCACAAGCCCCCCTCGGCACACCGGGAGAAGGTTAGCACCCCCCTTCCAGGATAGAGGTCGGCTCCACCCACCCAGAGAAACCAGGCCAGGCCAGTGGCCACCACCCATCCTAACAGTCCTGTCTTGGTCAGATAAGTGCCGCAATACCAAGAGAGATGCTTGGGACCCACGGTCTGGCTCCTCCCTGCCCTCCCAGAGGAGAAGGTGCCCCTGCAGCAGGCTGGCCCCCCAGGACCCCAGCACACCTCACTCCTGTGCGCAATCCAGAACCCCTCCTGCCTGCCCTAGTCTCCTTGTCTCGTCTCCCTCCTCAATGCGCCTGCTCCTCTCCCCTCCCTGATCCCGTCCCCAGGGCTGCCCCTCCTCCTCAGTGCCCATCTGGCCCCTGTTCCTCTCACTTCTCATTATGAGCATCGCATGGATTCTGTCTATACCCCACACAGCCCTCCTGGGGCACCACCCACTCCTGTGGCTGCCAAGACCCCAGCCAGTGTCTCCTGCTGAACTCGCCGCCCTCCTGAGCCTCAGATGCCTCCACGTGGGTGCCCACAGGCACCTCAAGACCATGGCGTCCACCTTGTGTCCTCTCTCCAAAATGCTCGGTGATGGCACCTGCTCCCGGAGCCCTCCTCCACTCTACCCAAGCCCCTTGGACTCTCCGACCTCTCTGGACTGGGCCCACCCTGCCACCACCCTGGTACAAGCCACCAGGCCACTTCCCCTCCAGGCACCTTCCCACGTCTGGTCTGTGCGCCGCTCCTCCACCACCACCACCACCACCATCCCCGCCCATCTTCCACAATGCAACCCGAGTGCACATTCACACAGCTGAGGTCATTGCACGGTGCCCAGCCGGAGGCCACCCCACCTGCAGGACAAGCCCCGTTGCAGCTCAGCCCAGGCCTCCTGCCCTGCCCCCCAGCCCCACAGGCAGCCCCTCTCCTGCCACAGTCCAGGGCTTTGGGTGGCACCTGAAGGCCCTGTGGTGCTGCCCTCTGGCCTGGGACTCCTTCTTACTTCTCTACTGCCTGACTAGCACTGTATCCCTCGGAGTCTCCACTCCGAATGTGCAACCTCGCCTGGCCTCCAAGCATGAGTTCGGACCCTTGCACAAGGCTCCTTGGACTGCCCCCTGCTGGGTGGCTTGTCTGGAGCCCCAGCATTTGTGGGGACACTGCAGGCCCACCCGCCAGGACTGGGGACAGGGTGGGGTGCACGCCCAGCCTTACCGGTCTCTGCGGGCCCGTGGGATCCGACTCTCTCCGTCGAGGGCGGGGTCCCGAGTGCAGGGGTGAGTGGGAAGGGCTGCCGGGAGTGGGGGGCTGTGATGTCTCCGACCGGCCATCGGCCTGGCTCAGCTGGGGCGGTGGGGGCTGGGGCAGGGCGTGCCGGGCGTCCTCCTCTGCCAGGGTCTGCATGCCCCGTGTCCGGGGCCGCACGGCCGGTTCGGGCCCTGGCCGCCTCCGCTCCTCGCCCTCCTCGGGCAGCGGCCGCAACTCCTCAGGCTCCTCGTCCGTGGTGCCCGACGTGCTAGGCTCCGCCCCCGGGGGGAAGTCCTTGAGCTCCGTCTCCTTGTCGATGATGACCCACTCTTTGCTGTCGAAGTCCTCCTCCTCAGCCAGCGGCACCGAGCGGAAGGCATTGCTCAGAGCCTCCTGTTCCACGGAGGCTGACACGTCCATGCGGCCGCTGGCCTGCCGGTCAGCATGGCCTGTGTCCACTGACAGCATCTGAGCTGGCTGCGAGGAGCAGGCCTGGCGGGAGGGTGAGCCAGGCAGATCCATCCTCGACCTGCAAAGCCAACCCACACCCACGTGGGGCTCAGGGTCCGGCCACTCAGGGACCCCAAGCAGATAGCCAGATAGAGCATGAGCTGGAACCACCCCCCGGGCCAGGCCCCGTCACCCCCTGGGTGTGTCCGGCCCAGTCAAGACTTCGTTCATTCACTCATTCGACAAACTTGCATGGACTGGGTCCTGTGCTCCAGGACAGGCATGCAGAAAGCAAACTCTGGTCCCTGAGCCCAAGGACCAGACCACGCCTGACCCATCCCCAAAGGTCCAGCTGTTCTAGAGCCCACTCTATGCACTGGCCCCATCAGTGGCTCCCTCCCACTGCACCAGGGCAAATGCCCACCAGACCTGTGAGTGTGCCAATGGAGAGTCTAGCCCCATCTCCCATCACCCTTCAGGCCTGCCTGGCTGGTTTCACCACCCAGCCTAAACGAGCTCTCACCCCAAGGTCAGAGTCCAAATTCCTTAGCCTGGCACTCCAGGCTCCTGGAGGCCTGCCTTGATACCCCCAGTCAGCCACCCAAGAAGTCCCGGTGGCACAGTGGTTCAGCGCTCAGCTGTGAACCAGCAGGTCAGTGGTTCAAATCCTCCAGCAGGAGACCTGACTCCTGCTCCTGAGATCACAGCTGGGAAACGCTGAGTCAGACGGACTCCATGACATCCAAGATCATGACCGTCAGTGCAGCTCCGATGTCACCTCTCACCTGGAACTTCCCATCCCGGAAGTCCTCCTGGCACAGAGCACACGCCTGTCTGTCTGCCTAGCAGCCTTCCAGGGGCACCGACCCTGCCTTGGACTGAGCTGTGAAGCTCACGTGATTTGCAGGGGTGCTGGGTCCCCGAGGCTAGCACAATGTGTGTGTGGCAGCAGGAGATGATGCTACCTAAGTCAACGCTGAACACCCTTGCCCAAACGAATGCCAGGGCACCTGCCTGGAGAACCTCCCGGCTTAGCTCACCTGGGGCAGGCCACCTCCTGACATGTTCTTCCCGCCAGGAGGGGAGGGCGCAGATGAAAACCACCTGCGGGCCTTGCTTTCATCACCCAAGCCCACGTGGGACCACCATACCGACCCTCCACACGGTTTTGGTGGATTTGTTCCTAGGACTTCAAAAAGACCCCCCGCCCCAGGAGAGACCACCTGGAGCCTTGCATTTACCCTGGTGCCTCTTTCTCCCCGGGGGCGGGTGGTGTGGGCCACGCAGAAGAGAGAGGGTGTTGGGGTGGGGGCGGGAGAGCGGAGTTGCATGCATATGAAGACTTCTCCAGCCACCAGGTGCCCCGGAGCCCAGCCAAACCTTGCTGCCCGGACCCAGACCCTGGAGGACCTGGTGGCACAGTGATCAAGCACTCAGGTGGTCATTAACCGAAAGGTGAGCTGTTCAAAGTTCCATGAAGACGCCCAGCCTTAGAAACCCAGAAGCTAGAGGGTTGGAGGTTCTAGTCCGCTCACGGCACCTCGAAAGGAACCTGGATACCCGCCTCCAAGAAGCCCCGGGGGCGCAGGTCTTCCCTGGCTGCAGCTGTGGTATTGGCAGGGGTGGGGTGTGTGTGTGTGTGTGTGTGTGTGTGTGTGTGTGCAGTCTATGAGTTCCTGAATCTCTTGTTTCAAAAAAAGAAAAATCTCTCCTCAGTCCCCCTGCTCCCCACCACCCTTGAACCAGGGTTAACTCAGGGCCACGTTAATTAGCTGATTGCTCCCTAAAGGAGAGCAGCCATTCTCCACCAGCTCACTCTCCCCACAGACCTCGGTGTAAGCAATCCAAGCGACCGTGGCAGGAATGTGGTCTTCAGGTGTGGGGCCAGGTGACACTGTCCTTGTGAGGGTGCGGAGGGCAGAGGCTGGTTAAAAGGCCCCTGTCTGGGGCGCCTCCCACCCTGCAGTGGCACTGTGCCCCGCCCTGGAGGCGGGGTGCAACCTGGGGCTAAACCTGAGGTGGGCCAGGAGGAAGAACTCTGAAAGGGTTGGGGAAAGGACCACGGGGCTAGAGAAGGCCCAGCCCTGCTGTGGGGCGGAGGTCCCCCTAAAGGCCAAGGGAGGATGTGACCTGCGCGCTCCGGGGCCTGCCCCGCTTGCCCAGGCTCCCACACCCAGCAGCAGCTGAAGAGGGGGTCTGCCTCTGCCTGCCCCCACCATCTCAAGTCACCCAGACACCTTGCACCCTCCTCCAACTAGCACCTGCCCGGCTCCCCTGCCCTAAAGACACACCTCGGCTCACCCTCACCACCTCTTTGCTTAGGCCCCCTGATGCCTCTTGCTCCTGGCCTGTCCCTCCTCCAGCTGCCCTGCCCCAAAGCAGCGGGGGCCCAGCTCAGCTGCTCCGGAGACACCTGTAATTGCTCGCACCGCTGACTCACTGCGACCTCAGGGGGCAGTCTACAACTGCCCAGGGTTTCTGAGAGGGTTACAGACCCTAAAACAAGAAGTTCTTGAAGCATACCCTGAAGCCCACTCCCCTCCTGTACCTGAGGGCCCCCCCCGCCCAGCCCCCATCCATGAACTGAGGTCTCGGAATTCCCCACTCCCAGGCCTTGTCACCGACCCCAACCCAAGTATAACTCCCTGACCCCTGAAGACTTGCCAGGCTCCCTGGACCTTGGGCTCCCATCTGACCTGCCTCCAGGCAGCCTGTGAGGCGAGGGGGCGGCCTGCTGACGGGCCTGACCATACCCACCTCCTCTCCAGCAGCTCCACCCGCCCGTCCGCGGTGGAGAGCCGCTCAGACTCCGGGCTGTTGACCCTCCGGTAGCGCAGAGAACGGACTGGGGTTGTCGGGGAGTCTGGGGGGGCACGCACTGGGGAGCTGGGGACCCCCACGCCTCGGCTTTGCTCCTCCTCCATCACGCAGGGGCTCTGCAGTAGAAGGAGGGGGGCACCATGAGCTGAGGCTGACAAGGTGAGGGCCCAGATTTGCTTGGGGAGGGTCCTGAGGAAGGGCTTCAGGAGGGCCAGGCCAGACTGGTGGCAGGGACCAGTGAGTAAGCAGAGGCCCCCAGCTGGGGCTCGGGCTGGGGCTGGGCTGGGCTGGGCTGGGGCTGGACTGGGCTGGGGTAGGACTGGACTGGGGCTGGGACTGGGGTTGGACTGGGTTGGGGCTGGACTGGACTGAGCTGGGGTAGGGCTGGGGCTTGGCTGGACTGTGGCTTGGTTGGGGCAGGGCTGGGACAAGGACAAGGACAAGGACAGGGCTGGGGCTGGGGCTCCCTTCCCGGCTGCAGTTACTTTGCCGATGTTGATGCGGAGCTTGTTGCGGTTGACATCTGTCTCTTCCCAGACCTCAGCCTCAGGCCCCCCAAGGTGGGGTGTCAGGTGCGGGCCTGGGCCCAGCCCCTCGAGGGGCCGCCCCGGCAGGACGGGGGGTGCGTTCTCCTGGTCGCTCAGGTGCTCGCCCTGCAGCACATCCTCTGTGTTCTCCCGGAGCAGGTCGCCGGGCACAGGTGTCACGTTGACCACCCTGCAGAGGCCAGAGCGGGAGGCACGGCTGGCAGGGCATCCTCTCTCCCTAAGCCCCGCTCCCTGCAGCACGCCCCTGAAGACCTTCTCCCACGCAGAGGAAGCCCAGCCCAGCGGGGTGCCCCCAGCCTCGGAGACTAGACCAGCCACTGGTGAACTGGGGGCCAAGAGGAGATGTGGCTGCCTGGGGTGGGGTGGGGGGTGTCACCCTCAGCTCTATTTACATGGAGACCCTGCCACTGCCAGGGGTCTACTGGCCTCCACACCTGGCTCTCAATCAAAGGCACACTGGCACTTCTTGGGCACATCCTTACAGGACCGGCATCAGACATGGACTGCCCGGAGGTGGACACGACCCCAGCGTCTATCGATGGATGAGAGGATTCAGCAAACATGGGCCCCCCACGTCATGCGAGGGCTGGGTGCTGAGTCACAGCAACGCCAGGTGATGGAACAGGACAGCCCGGGAAGGTTTCCACAAGGATCCCTGGGGGCGGAGTGGGTGCTGCTCGCTCCAAGGTCAGCAGTTGGAAACTGCCAGCTGCTCCCCGGGAGAGAGAGGAGGCTCTCCCCTCCCATAAAGAGGGATGGTCGGAGACCCTCGGGGCAGCTCTGCCCTGTCCCAACAGGGAGGAGTCAGAACAGACTCTCGGGCAGTGGGTTTGGTTTTGTGGGGTTTCCAAGCCTGCATGTCTCCACAGATTCATCCCCCTCGCGTGGCACCGTCTGTGGGTCCAAGGTGCCGACCTCTTGGATTTGTAAATGTCGTGGTGGCAAAGACACAGGTGCTTCACAAAGCCCATGGGCAAATGGAATGAAGACAGGATGGAACTGGTTTTTCCTTGAGCTACTTGAGGCCCCTCATATCTGGTTATATACTATATAAAACAACAACAAATGGAAAGGGGGAATCAATTGCAGGGATCTACATATAACCTCCTCCCTGGGGGATGGACAACAGAAAAGTGGGTGAACGGAGACATCAGACAGTGTAAGATATGATAAAACAATAATTTATAAATTATCAAGGGTTCATGAGGGAGTGGGGAGCGGGGAGGGAGGGGGAAAATGAGGAGCTGATGCCAGGGGTTTAAGTGGAGAGCAAATGTTTTGAGAATGTTGAGGGCAACGAATGTACAATTTACACAATTGTGTACAATTTACACAATTGATGTTATGTATGGATTGTGATAAGAGTTGTATGAGCCCCCAATAGAAAGATTTAAAAAAACGCGGGGGAAATGGTGAGAAGTCCTGTGGGTCCCCTTTCTTCCTCCCTAATGGGTCCTCCTGGAGCCCTAGCTGTTTCCCTCTCTGGCTTTCTCCTGGGGCCGGGTAGGGAACCCCTTCTCACTCTGCCCAACCCTGGCCCATCTCTGTATCTTGCAGACGCAGAGGTGGCCCATAAATTAAAAGCACCCTGATTCAAATGAGTGTCCTCTGTGGGCAGGGGCTGTGGCCTCTCTCTTTCTCTCGGAGGCCCACAGTGCCTGGCAGACAAATACAGCAGGGGTGCCAGTTGCGCTCATTAATCCACAGGGCGTGGGGCTCGGGGCTACTGAGTGGTACCAGACTCTGCAAACAAGGACACCCACTCTGACCCCAGATGGAAAGTGGCGGAACTTCCTCAAGTCCTGGAGCCTGACTGCTGACCAAGCAGAGATTTGAGTGGCCAGGCCGTCCAGGGAGGGAGAGGAGCAGAGAGATGGCCGCCCAGGGACAGGCTCACCCGAACATGGCTGCCGTCTGCCGCGTGTTCTGCTGGGGCGGGGTGGAGGTGCTGGTGGATAGCAGGGTGTCAGTGCCCGCCTTTTCCCAGTCAAAGGCTTCATTCTCCGCGATGCCCCGCTCCTTCATGCTGTTCTCAAACACCGACATGATCAACTGCGGAGCGGGAGGGGCGGGGGACAGAGCGGTGACCCCCGGGGCTAGCCAGGAGGAAAAGGCAGTTGCCACAGTTGCAAGGGAAAGAGGGGGCCTGGGGGGGCAGGGGTGGGCCTGGGGGGGCATTGGGAGGAGAGGGGCACATTGCTTTTAAGTGTTGACCACCGGCACCCCGATATGCAAACAAGCATCCAAAGGGATTATCCCCACTGAGATCTGGCCCCTGGCTCCGACAGACATCAGCAGCCTGGGCTCAGCCCAGCACCAGCAGCCCTGGACTACTAAGCAGCCTCCTTCCTCTGTCCCTACCCAGAATGCCTTGCCACCCATCGGCTCCTCCTTGAAGCCCTCCTGGCTCCCCCAGGCCCGGAGCCGTGGCTTCCAGCTCTGTACTACTGACTGTGCCAGTGGTGCGGTTAGCTGCCTGTCTGCCAACCTGCCTCTCTGGCAGCCCGCATGGGGCCAGCATGGCTGTGAAAGATGGGGCGTGGCCATTTCCTGACCGAGGGCCCAGTGCAGCCCTGAGGCCTCCAGGTGGGTACTGGCTCTGGGCAGCACACAGGACAGGGATTCTCTGGGGACAGGGCCCTCAGTGTGTGGGCCTACTGTGTGCCCGCACTCCCTGCCCTCAATGTGCAGGCCTGGGCCAGACACGCAGCAGCAGGGCCGCAGCAGAACATTGCTGAAGGCCCCGCCCTCCAATGGCAGGCAGTGGGTTCCCCAGGGACGGGGTGGTGGCATCTTAGAAAGAACACTGGTCTTGGCATCAGAAGATCGGTACCTGAGCCCTGCCCTGCGCCTAACCATGATACGGGGCCTTACTGTCCTCATCTGCGAAATGGGGTGGTCATCCCCGTGGCCACCGGCATAGTTCCGGTGGGAAGTGTTTGAAAGGGCTTGGCCTTATTCATTGTTAAGTGCCGGAGTAATAAGCAAAACACTCCTCGTCCTAAAAGCTTCTTGTTGAGCTCCAGCGAGCTGACGGCTGGACAGCGCCGGCCTCGGGCTGGCCTCCCATAGTGGTGGCCACTGTGGAGGGGAGGGTCTGAGGCAGCTGCTTGGGCAAGCCGGTGGGGTGCAGGGCCTGGGCTGGGCAGGAGCAGGTGTGCTACAGGGTGGTGTCCTGGTGGGGTTGGCAGGTGCTCACCTGGTAATCCGGCTTGGTGAAGTAGTCCAGGCTGGCAATGTGGTCCAGGAAGAGGTGGAACTCGGAGGGCATGTGCTTCAGCAGCATCCGGTGCTCGTACTTCTCCTTGATCATGCCCACCTGCTCCTGGAGGACGGCAGGCAGGGGGAGATGGCGCCCCTGCACAGCCCCCAGCCCTCCCCTCCTCCCGCCTCACTGCCCAGGCCTCACCTTGTCCTTGATCTTCCTCCAGGGCAGCTGACCCACTGCAAACTCCACCAGCATGTAGAAGAGGGACCACAAGTCGTCATGGCGACCCATCTCCTGGGGGCCGAGGGAGGGGGTCACCCATAGCACTTGTCTCCTGGCCAGAGAGGCCTCTGGGCAGAACTGGGGTCTCCTTGAAGCTTTATCTCCGTCCCCAACCCCGTAACCACACAGGACCTCATGGTCACAATGCCCCAGCGTCAGGATGGAAAGGGAGAGAAGGGGAGTCAGGGTTCAGCCCTGCCCTCTGCCCCTGACCTGTGCTCCTGCCCCAATGCCCCTCAGGCAGGTGTCTGGCACTCACCCGGTTCTTGTGGGCATTGACTGAGGCATAGCGGACTGTCCCCCGAAATCCAGCCACATTCCGAGGCTGCAGGGGAAAGAATACCAGGAGTCTCCCCCCCACTCCCAGTCCCCAGCCCCCTGGCCTCAGCCGCCTCCCAGACCCACTTCCCAAGTCAGGCGTGTCCCTGACACATGGAACTGCCCCAGTCAGACATACGGAGATGGGGGGGGTTGGGGGGACTAGGCAGGGACCCCAGAGCTGACGCTCATGCTGATGAACACAAGTCCAGGGTGCAGGGAAAGGGGGGGTGTCTGTGAAGGGTCCCCTAGTTGGTGGCTGGGTTGGGGAAGTCATCCCCTGTCCTGACAGCCCTGGTCATGGAGGCCCGTGGTGCGTGAGGGAGGGCGGTACTCACGGGCCGGACGTCCCCCGTGGTGTTGGTGTACTGCCGGGCCAGCCCAAAGTCCAGCATGTAGCACTTCCTGTAGGTGGAGGGCAGCCTGCCCATGGCAAAGTTTGACTGAGGAAGACAGCAGTGGTGAGCCCCAGGGCGCCCACTGCCCAGGCCACCCGGGGACAGGGCTCCCACCCTGCGGGACTCGCACAGGACAGAGCATCAGTGTCCACTGAGGGCAGGGATTCTCCTCTGTTTAGAGCTGGGGCGCTGAGGGCCAAGGCTCTGCGGGCTTCTCCGAGGTCACCAAGCTAGTGATGGCCAACCAGGACTAGAGTCCAGGCGCCTCCAGCTCTAAACCCTTGGGACTCCTCAGAGGGCGGCGTGGGTCAGTGGGCACCTCCTGCCTAAGGTACCCGGGGGAGAGGGGGCACGGTGACCTTTCTGTGTGGCCCTGGGCACATCCCCTAACCTTGCCGGGTCCTAGAGCGCATTCCTGTAAAGAGCCAAGATCCAAGTCGCCACACATGACTAGCGTTCCTTAGGGGCCTGTTTCCCCACCTCCCTCCATGCCTTCATGGCTCTGCTCTGGGGTCAAGGACTCAGTCAGGTCAGGGGGGCAGGAGGAGGACAGAGGAGAGACCCTGGGTGCAGCCAGGAGGATGCTCCGATCCTGGGAGGTGGGGAGGAAGAGGAGGTGGAGGGCAGAGGGAGGTAGAAGAGGCTTCCCAGCTCAGAGAGAGGCCAGAGGAGGGCGTGGCTGGGGGCGGGGCCTCACCGGCTTGATGTCCCGGTGCAGGAAGCCCACAGAGTGGATCGCCTCGATGGACTCCAGGATCTGCTTGCCCAGCCGCAGCGTGGTGCTCAGCGTGAAGGTGCCTCGGGGCTGGCTGCGGCGCAGGTCGGCCAGGTTCCGGCCCTGGGAGGGGAGACAGGCCTGCCTCAGTGGCCTGCCTAACCACCACCTCACCCACCACCAACTCCACCTCCACCACCCACCACCACCACCTCCAGCACCATCACCTCCACCAC